GGTGTAAACCAAGCCCCATCGATAAAACACTCGCTCTACAAGGGCCAAGCCGTTGTCTTTCCAAAACCGGCAGCTGGCCTGACTAGCGCTGGCACATGGAGAAAGTCTCCACCTCGGTTGGAGCGACCCTGGCAAAAGGCTTCGGAGCCCACAAGGGCCTGCGACTTCTGTCAGAGCCACCAGGCGAGGGCTCCGAAAAGGCTCTCCAAGCCGGACAGGTATTTTGATAGGTCTCGATAGGCTCTGCCAAAGCTGAGAATTGCTCCTGATCGATCCACTGAACACGGATGCATGTCTGGGGTTATTTGCTTAAGTCATGAAACAAAGACCTCCATGTAAAATCTCGCCTGAAACAGATTGACATGTGGTTTCGCCACTATAGGTAACCAACCAATTTGCCCTTTTGGTTTTTCGAGGCTAGCTCTTGCCCGAGTACCTGTACCAACATCAAATTGGGAAAAGCACACCATTTTCTGAAGCCCCAAACGAGACAACAAATGACATGCCTTGCGCGTTGCCGCTGGATTGGCTTGCAACTCCAACGAGTTTCCGGGCTCCTTTGGGCAGCGCTGGTTCCGCCAGGGAAAATGTGGGCACGCCTGGCTCGGAATTGCCATGATTTTTACTGAGGGGCCCAAACTGGACCTCAAAATTCTGGATTCATGCACACCCTTCCCCATTCTTTCCAGGGATCCTTCTTTCTGGAAAACCTGCAGAAACCCAGGGAAAACGGCTGGTTTTGGAAAAGGACGATGGTTGAAAAGAATGGACAAGGAATCGACCCCTAGAATTGAAACCAACCTCAAATTTTGGGACAAGGGAACATGCTGGGTGGGCTCCCTCGTGCGCTCTTTCAGTCCTGCTTCAGGGCTTCACGTGTCGGATGGATTTCTACCCCCTGCGACCTTTGCCTGGTGTGGGTTTCTCGAAATGGACACCGACCCCTTTTGGTTGAACCCCTTGAGAAACTTTAAAGGACACATAGATGGGTTTCCCTGCACGGATGGACTAAGTTCAATCTCTTGTGGAATCCATGTACTTCTATCCAACCCAGTGGCGCCATTTCCTTGATTTTCTGGGTCGCTAAGAGAACCCTTGCAAACTCGAGAGGAAAACTGGATGGAAGGGTTGCCGAATTCCTCGCGAGACGCCTCTCTGGGCAAACTCAACCGGCCAATCGGCCGGCTATGAGACCGACAAGACTCGTCCAGCCTGCAGGCACACCTCCCACTTCGCCATTCCTGGCAGAAATTCGCCGCGCCCGTTGCGAAACCGGCCGGGGGACCAGGCTGTGATTGCTTCGTTTGCGTTGCTCAGGAAACCTGCGGAAATGCTATAACCTTGCCATCGAACCCAAATTCAATGGCTTTTGGCGCTCACCTTGCTGGATCCATAGCTTGAAACTCACCCCAAACCTCGAACGCTAAGCCTTCTCAAAACCCTACTGTGGATGGTCAAAATCCTGCACCAGTTGGATTTCGGTGCTTTATCCCAGCATGCCTAGGGTTTCATCCATCCCAACTGGTCCCAATCGCCGAGGACTTTGTCCAGCCACTAGGCACATGCCATCAGTGCGCAGCCCCGTCCTCTCGCCCTCACCACCTGCAAGTCTCGATGCCGGAGACAACTCTGAGCCCTTCTCAAGGCCCTCGCTTGAGGCAAAACAATATGACTGCAGACGTCCACATGGGTGTCTTTTTGTAGGAGAACCCCCAAATTGGTGGATGTGAAGTTTGGTTTTCCTTTGAACCCACCAAAAAAGGGTTGCCCAAAAAAAACGCCACATGCCCTGCTCGCCACCCGGTTTGGTTCAGGTCCACTTTAGGTGGGCCACGAGCCTCTGCCACATCAAAAAGCCTTGGCTCGCCTCACCAACATAATATTATTATGCGACACAAGCATGATGCAGTTCGAGAAGCGCTAGCCGAGAATGCGAATAGAAAGTTAACACATACGAAATTCATAAACTAGAAGGGTGAAGCCTGTTCGGGAAGAAATTGCAATCTCTGCACGATCTCTAATGGAAAAAAACATTTGAATGCAGTGTGAAAGTAACAGACAAAGGTGCAACAACCTGACTAGTAATGTAGCCATGCCAAACAAGCAAACAATAGTGACATAGAGTTGAGTTCGGGGCAGCAAAGTACGTACACGCAGCCAGAACTCGGTACAAGCAGATGCAGTGACAAACCAATCAGAGTCAAGGTCAAGGTCAAACAAGCAATCAAATATAGCTAGAGTGAACTAAATCACAAGGCAAACGGGGTGTGGCTCAAAATTAAACAGGAGGGGTGTTGCAGATTTTGGTTCATGTTTCCACTTGCCAGGGTTCCATTTTGGTACCGGTTTTTTGTGCCACAGCCAACGCGCATTTAGCCGGCTTGAATTTGGCAAGCTTATGCACGAGCCTAGTACTCCGAAGGATGCAAGAGGAAGGCTTGTGTAGAATCATGTTCCAACTGCCATCTTTATGAGGAATTCGAAACCATTGTTTGTTGGTATTTGCAGGGAGAATCAACATTCCAGGGCTTCTTAGGTGGTGCGAAATGGAATTCGTCCATTCACGGTACCAAGCATCTGCGCTCATCGATTTTCCGAGCTTTGGATGTAAAGCCCAAATCCGTTCAAATCCGGCAGCCGGTGTATTCCTTTCAATCTGGTCCAGCGTGTGTGTGTGTGTGTGTGTGCGCGAGTGTGCGTGCGTGCGTGCGTGTTTGTTTGATTGCTTGCTTCTTTGTTTGATTGCTTGCTCTTGTTTGTTTGCTTGCTTGTTTGTGTTTTTTAACACTTCCTCTTTTTTTTTGTGTGTGTGTGGACTCCCTTCTTCACTTGTGCATCTGTCCCTGCCTTGCAGAACAAACACCAATGGCATGATCAAGCTCTGGAAGACTTGTGTTGTCAGTGGGCCTCTTCGGCCTAGAGTGCCCCAAACAATGGGCTTGCCTTTTGGGGCGTATTGCTGCATCACTAAGCCCGTTCAGCAATGTTGTGATTGTTGCAGGTGGCTGGCGAAGCTATTAATACTGGCCAATAGAATCCCCCTCTGTGACTCGCAATTTTGGGGGGTTCCCTATTTTGACAAGTACCCAAATTTACTGCCATCGCCGTGTCACCAGGCTCTGAGAATCTCAGCATCCCGTGTACAGTACCAGTTGAACGCCCTTGAACACATCTTGGGCCATGAGTCACCTGGTGGGTGGTCAAAAATATGGACCCCTGTTGAACCCCTTTTTCTCAGGCGAGCCCACGTAAACCATGGCCCAAACTCATGTTTGACCCCCACATGATCGAGCCGCACAGGTTCCAGTTTAGCCCCTCTAAGCTCCTGGACATACACCCACCATGTCGTGGATTCCCAGACGATCCCAAAGGGAAACCAAAGGAGACCGCGAGATATTGTACTTAAAACCACTGGCCGGTCTGAAAAATGATGAAGACGGTGCAGGGTGGTGGAGCAGCCTTTCTGCTATACCAATATGGGCCATCCTGATGCCTACTTTTTCAGTAGGTAGGGAATTCCCTTGGTATCACAAGAGAAAATGGCAACCAACCAACCAACCAGCCAGCCAATCAACCGTGATTGCCCCCCAAAGACAGGACATGAAGCTGAAGCTTCGGCTTTGGCCCCGGCCACCCAGCCGCGACTGCAGCTGCCTCTCCAAAAACCTGACGCCACATTTGTCTCAAACTGATGGCTGCGAAACCCAACCCCACCATTCAGAAACCCTGCTTTCCTTTCTCTGCTTTTGTAGATTCCAAAACGGTCCCCCATGGTTTCAAAGTGGCGCGAGCAGGAGTCCTTAAAATAGGCGGAATTCCTGTAAAACCATCCGTAAAGGGGTACCAACTCAAAAAAAGACGAGCCGCCCAGATTTTTCCAAGGGGCCAGGCAAAGGTTCACCTCTCTGCAGATTCCATGCAAACGCTAAGTACCTTCCTTCAGATTTGCCGGGAATCTGAGTGGCTAGCAAAATCTGAAAACAGCTGGCAACAAAGGAATGTTTTCCGGGAAATCTCAGACAAAAAGAAAGACACAACGGCAGCTTCAACATTTGCTAGATACAACTGAGCCGTGCCGAATACTCTTGTGTAACTAGTGGTACTATGAACTTGCTTTCGCGAACGCTTGCGCGATGCTTTCGCGACCCCATGTTTTGCTTCTGCGGGCTTCGTTTGCTTTAGAGCTGCTGTAGCGGCGCTTTCGCGTCGGACTGTCACACCCTTTGCACTGCATGAGCTCAAAAGCCGCAGGTTCCTTGTGACGCGCGGGGCAGTGTGTTTCGCCTTTCTTCAAAGTGAGTTCCACAAACAGCAGTGCACCCCATATGTAAGACCCCGCTCATCATCACTTTCGCGGCGGGACCTTCTATTAAGCACTTTCGCCCTAAGCTTTCGCACGCTTTTGCGAGCCTCTCCGCGAGCTTTCGTTTTTCGCGAGCTGTTTCTTTCCCCGCGAAAGTTCCCTAGACCCACCCCCTTTCCTGATTTGTGTCGGGGTATGGCGCTCACTCGAAACTCGGCACCCCTCCTCTGCCGCTCCTCCTGGCCCAAAGCCGATTCCAAACGACCGCCGTTGAAGCTGGTAAGGCGAGCCACGCGAAATAACTTCTCGTTTTTCCGCACTCCGGGCTGGGTGTTGCCACAGATGTCTTCAAGCTCACGAGCTTAAAACTCAAAGAGCCGTCCTTTCTCCCCACTGTTCGTATCGCAAACGATCGCGCGCCCTCTGTACCAATGTCATTTGACAAAGCAAAAAGAGACCAACGTCGGCCAGTGTTGCAGCTCAGCTGCCGCTTGATAACTGCCAACTCCGAGCTAGTTGAGCTGCATTGAGCTCGAGTCCAGGTTCAAATGGACTTACATCGTTATGCAAAGTATAAGCTGGTGAGACGGTTTGCTCTGTACCGCTGGCACCTCAAGCCAGATGGCTATGAATTTTAATTAGGGACCCTGTGGTGGACATCATTCAGCTGAGGATTTATGTCCACAAACCACTTTTCGGGGGGTTCCCCACTCAAAATTCATAGCCGGAGTGAAGCGCGTCCAGACGACCTCACACGATGATTTCGACACCAGGCGCTATGGCCCTCATGCGCTGAAGCAAAGCATTGAAGACCTCGGTGTAGCTCCATGTCAGGTCCTGCAAGGGGCTTTGGGATGCTTCACTCGTACCCTTTAACTTGCTTTTGCTTGTTGGTTGCTGCTTTTTCTCTCTCCCTCTCTGTCTCGCTCCCGCCCTCCCTCCCTCCCTCCCTCCCTCCCTCCCTCTCTCTCTCTCTCTCTCCCTCTCTCTCTCCCTCTCTCTCTCTCTCTCTCTCCCTCCCTCCCTCCCTCCCTCCCTCCCTCTCCCTCCCCTCCCTCCCTCCCTCCCTCCCTCCCTCCCTCCCTCCCTCCCTCCCTCCCTCCCCTCCCTCCCTCCCTCCCTCCCTCCCTCCCTCCCTCCCTCCCTCCCTCCCTCCCTCCCTCCCTCCCTCCCTCCCTCCCTCCCTCCCTCCCTCCCTCCCTCCCTCCCTTTTTGTAGCGTGAACACACAAATCAAAGAAAGCTATCAATGTGCAAGAGCGTACAGGGCCAGTCATATCTTTACGATCGTGCAGCTCACGTGCAATGCAATTTTTGACTCACTAATTACCCTCACCATGGTGCGGAGCCGGTTCAATCACGGAATCAAAAGGGCAAGTGGAAAACAGCTGGCCGGCGGCGGCGCGAAACTGTTGACACGGCATCTCCAAAGTTAGTGTCACACCGCAAGCACATGGGGTGCAGAAATGCTCATGCCGACATGTATCGCAAACTCTGTCAGACGCGAAGAGGGTGACTGGCATTGACTCATGTGATCAAACGTGAATGTGCATGTGATCGACATGAACAATACGGCCACCGGAAACTCTGATAGGGGCCTAACCGGAATCGATACCCCCTCGCCCTCACCTGCGCGGGCCTACCCAGACCAGGTAAGGGGGCCACAATTCTGGCCAAACGCCCGAGTCACTGAAACAAGAGCAAAATGCAATAGGCGCAACATCAATTGACTACGGCCCTATCCTATCCCGCACCTCGCACATTTGTGTTCAACAAAATTGCCGACCCCCTGTCCTTTGGTCTACATCCAACACAGGTTTAACAGATCGCCGTAAAACCAGGTAAAACCCCCAATGCAACAGCCAAAACAGGTTTAACCCATCTGCATACCTGGCCTTGGCATTGTACTGCTGGCCCGTACTTCGGTCAATCTGCTCAAAGAGGTGCATGTCATCCTTCGGCTGCCCCGCCCTTACTTTGAACCAAACAATAATCGAAGAGCAAAAGGGTGCAACTTTTGCCCAAAGCCCAACCCCATAAGTTCATAAGACACATCTGACACTCCGGCATCTTCGAAATCAAAGAACCCAGCACCCCCCAACAACTTGTCTGCCACCCGCTTCCGCTGGACTTGGGGCCAGGCGAACAGCTCTGGGTATGGAGTGAGGGATCCTAAATTCATGGGGGGTGGGGGGGAGGGAGGGAAGGGGAGAGGGAGCCCCAAAAAGCCCTAAATAAGACATAAGGCCCTTTTTAAGGGCGTAATAAGGGTTTATTTGGGCCTCCCTCCCCCCATGATAAATCATTCCGTGATGTGGATGTGTGTCAAAATACCATGGATGGACGAAATCCTGCACTCCGAAACCTTGGGAAGCCATTGTTTGTTGAAGCATCGTTCCAGGGTTTCTTAGGTGGTGCCGGATTTTCTCCATCCACAGTAGGAAACCCCCCCCCCTTCCCCAGAAAAATAAGTGTCAACCTGAAAAGCGTACCCTGAACAAAGACACACACACACACACATGTAGAGTGGAGAGTAGGATATCCCATTTCTACAACTACATATCCTTGCAAGCGATCTGAGCGTCACACAACCCAGTGGTTGCAAATACCAAGCTGTAGCTCGCATCCCCGAAAGACTTTCTTCACTGGCACCAACTGTGTCTTGGCCACACTGTGCAATCTAGTTGCTGGACAATTGACTCAAGAGACTGGTCCAGCAGCGGATATCTTTTCCTGCTCCTTGGACTTCTGGCCGAGAACAAACATGTGCTGCTGAAACTCGCCAATCTACAAGCCGGGCACAAATGACACCACGCCAGAACCACACAAGGACCGACCAGGAACCGTGCTACAAGATTAGATGGTTTTCACTACCCCCAGAATAACAACCAGGCCATCGCAGTGATTTGGGGTTTTCTCACAAAAGCGAGCTCCGGTTTCATGCAAGCGCATGCCTCCGGCGCAATGTGTTGGCGGAGCCGCACAAGGACGGAGTCGCCTCAGACAGATTCGAGTTACGAGTACCTGAGGGTTGACAGGGTGAAATTGGATGTCACGATTCCCTGGGCGTAAGCAAAGGGGATGACTAAACCAAAGTGGGGAATCATGCCATCTACTTTCACGCAAAGATAAGACCACGCCGGCCAGTAGCGAACCAAAGGAACTGGTGCAAAGCGGCATTTTTCTATCAAGCATCCTTAAAAAGATCGTAGCAATATCATCCTGAGCAGGAACCTTTTGATTGGTGTCCCACACTTCATCTTTTTTGCCCAAGGCAATTTCCTATGCGAAGGCTGCGTAAGCATATGCGGACGCAGGCACATTGATTGGTGCCCCAAACTTCATGCTTTTTGCCTAAGGCAGTTCCCTACGCGAAGGCTGCATGAGCATATGCGGACGCAGGCGCATTGATTGGTTCCCTACGCGAAGGCTGCATGAGCATATGCGGACGCAGGCACATTGATTGGTGCCCCAAGCTTCATGCTTTTTGCCTGAGGCAGTTCCCTATGCGAAGGCTGCATGAGTATATGCGGACGTAAGCACATTGATTGGTGCCCCAAACTTCATGCTTTTTGCCTAAGGCAGTTCCCTATGCGAAGGCTGCATGAGCATATGCGGACGCAGGCACATTGATTGGTGTCCCAAACTTCATGCTTTTTGGCCCAAGGCAATTTGATGTGCGAAGGCTGCGTGAGCAAATGCGGACGGAGGCACATTGATTGGTGCCCCAAACTTCATGCTTTTTGCCTAAGGCAGTTCCGTACGCGAAGGCTGCATGAGCATATGCGGACGCAGGCACATTGATTGGTGCCCCAATCTTCATGCTTTTTGCCAAAGGCAGTTCCCTATTCGAAGGCTGCATGAGCATATGCGGACGTAGGCACATTGATTGGTGCCCCAAACTTCATGTTTTTTGCCTAAGGCAGTTCCCTATGCAAAGGCTGCATGAGCATATGCGGACGCAGGCACATTGATTGGTGTCCCAAACTTCATGCTTTTTTGCCCAAGGCAATTTCCTATGCGAAGGCTGCGTGAGCATATGCGGACGCAGGCACATTGATTGGTGCCCCAAACTTCATGCTTTTTGCCTAAGGCAGTTCCCTACGCGAAGGCTGCATGAGCATATGCGGACGCAGGCGCATTGATTGGTTCCCTACGCGAAGGCTGCATGAGCATATGCGGACGCAGGCACATTGATTGGTGCCCCAAACTTCATGCTTTTTGCCTGAGGCAGTTCCCTATGCGAAGGCTGCATGAGCATATGCGGACGCAGGCGCATTGATTGGTGTCCCAAACTTCATGCCTTTTTGCCCAAGGCAATTTCCTATGCGAAGGCTGCGTGAGAATATGGGACGCAGGCACATTGATTGGTGCCCCAAACTTCATGCTTTTTGCCTAAGGCAGTTCCCTACGCGAAGGCTGCATGAGCATATGCGGACGCAGGCACATGAGAGGCTACGCAAAACAGGTGCTCTGAATAGAAAGCAATGCTTCAGCAAGTTAGAACCCTAAACAACGGGCTGCTGAAATTGGATCGAAAAGAGGTCGGGTGGTTTCCGCCAACCTCCATTGATTGTTGCTAAGCCATGGCTTTCAAAACCCCTCTAGCTTAAGCAATCTCCTCCAAGTTTCTGTTTCGGCGCCCGCAGAAACGTATGGCGGTTTTCGGCAACCACATGTTTGTTTGGCCGACCCGAAAGGAAACGCCTGCTGCCACGAAGTCCTTGCTCTGGCCCAGGAAGTTGTCTCCGCCGTTCACGGCGGCCTGCAATGCACTCGGTCGAAGCCTCAAGTTGACTCGTGATATCAAAAACGGAGGCAAAGGCGAGGGGGTTCTCCCGAATGGCCATGGTTCAAAACCAATGGTAAAATGTTGGGATAGGTGCACCACCCATTTTAGTCTATCTAAGTGGGGATTGAGATGTTCACTGGGGGCACGATTTGGGTTTTGACCCATGGCCAAATGAGTTTTGGAGGACCCGAGCCAAAATAAGAAGACGCCATCACTTTAAGTGATGGCTTCGGGGAACGCATGCCAATCAGCACCGAGGCCTTGTCTGCCACACAAAACAAATATCGAGCCGCAAAATGCTTCGAGGGAACGAGCTGCGCCTTCCAAGCAGCAATCTCCTGAGAAATGGATCGGGAGATCTCACTGCTGCAACGTGAACGGACCAAGGATCAACAGCAATGACTTTGCAGTACTCTCCCACAGCTTGACATGGGAGCCTGTACTATTGGAGGAACCTATCACTTCTTTTATATAGGGGACTTCTGTTTGGCTTGAGATTCCAAAACCAGAAATAAGACATGGACATGTTCAACAATTGGCTTTGCTTTTTTGGTTCAATAGTCAAGGTCTCAGAAGGAGAGCCTCAGGTGCTTCGGGCAGAGCCATGCTTTTGTGCTTTTAATGGTTTGCGCCGAGCGAGTGCTTGGTATTCCACAAGGCGGACTGCGAACAATCACTGCCAGGGCAAGCTCCCCGAGGAAGTAAAAGGAGCCATATGGCCATGGGTCAAAAACCCGTACCCCCAGTGAGCATCCCAATCCCCACTAAAATAGACTAAAATGAGTGGTGCACCTACCCCAAAATGGTACCATTGGTTTTGACGCACAGCCATATGATGTATAGTCCTATACCTTGGGATCGATCCGCTTGCTGAGATGATGCCTAGATGCCTATGCGTCTATCCATGGCTTTGCGGTCCTGACGGCTCAGCACGGTGCCAGTCGCGACCCTTTCGGCCACCTGAGAGGTGCCAGTCACATCGACTCCCTTGGGAGAATCGTGGATGGTTCATAGATCCTTTTGGGAAAATTGATGGGTTTTCCGGGGAATAAAACCAATAAAACCAATCTAAATCAGTGGAAACCGTCTATTTCTAGCCAAACTGATCAAAAGGACAGCTATGGAGTCTGGTTCCCAAACCAGGCTTTAAGAGCGCTGCATATGCGAAGTGCATATATGGCAGTTTCTGAACCATGGGTGCACAGCGAAGCCCGTGAACACAACATATCCAGCGGTTGGCGGCGCTCAAACGTGCTCAAACGCCTAGAACTGTTCTTGCTGAATATTTTTTCAACAAACTGGTTGGTGTTTGCTTTGGTTCATTCGTCAATTCCTCTTGAACAAGGAGGCTGTGCCAATTTTGGCTTTAACGTTTGTACCAACCATTTTTTCAGCTTGTTCCGATTTCTTCTCGCGTGCTTGAGCCGAACAAGTCCCTCGGGTTGATTGCCTCTTGAAACGCCTGAATCACTCCGGCCTGGTACAGCAAGGACGCCAACGCGGCAGTGATCAAATGCCAGGGGTTTCCTCCATCCTGCCCAAAACCCGGCTTCGTTTTTCCTTTGGTGAGACCCCTCTAAGAGTGAACAGCTGTTTATGGGTCCAATGGACAATCCTCAGAAGTTCAACCAAAAAGTTAAAGTCCGAAGATCCAACCAAATAGAAGGGGTCCCGATAGAACCAAAGCCGTAAAGTGTGGTTCTGTCAATATCGCAAAGGTTCCATAATATGTAGGCCTTACTACCCCCAAGCTGGCTCGTACCATTCACCGAAACTGCCAATAGGGGCGTTGCTCAACGGGCATCAAGGAAATACCCGTGCAAACTTCCAAAAGGTATTGCCTTGGTCTGCATATCTGGGATTTATACTTGGATAATTTAGACTTTTCTGACTTGTCCTGAATTCGTCAAACTGCTCCTTTCAAACAAGCAAAGATTCGAATCCAGGCTTCGTATGCAAACACACAAGAATCTAGAAGCCAGGCCCTCATTGCCCGCCAGCAATAGATGTACATTGCTTTGTCTGTAAACCATCCAACCTCTACCCCGGACGCGTGAATTTGCCTTGGTCCAACCAAGCGAAGGCCGAGTCCAGGTGATTCTACGAATGGATTTGATTTCGTTCACGAGCATATCCTTTGTTCATGGGACACCTAGAGGTGAAAGAACGATGCGTAGAGGTAAAACAAACAACAAGAGGCAAACAAACAAAAAAGAGGGGTAAAACCACCAAAGGAACCAAGGCAACCTGTAAAACCTAAATGCCAACAACACAACTTACCCTCTGCTTGCGCTCGGCACATGTGATATATATATATATATATATGCCACCCCCCCCCCCCAAATGTCTACCATTTCGCTGGTTTCAACGGTAATTGCAGTTTCTGCCTCTTTTCTCCGGCAAAGCAGCAGAAAAAGGGTGCCTTGTACCATCTATGTCAAATTATAGCTAGCAACTGGAAAAACGTTCTGGTAGGAAGTCCTCTGTAAAATCTGATTTGAAGTAAGAATCACAATTAAACATGTTCTTCCAAAAAATATTCCTATTTACATCATCTTTAAAACTAGAAATTATATTAGGATGTGTCGATTTTGATTTCTATTTGGATTTCAATTAGCAGGGTCGTTTCAACAATGCAAATACAACATACCGAATCGTATCGTTGCGTATTGCGAGCTATCGGTATCGAAAAGCAAGTATCGCAACCTCACATCGTATCGAAGACTATCGCTGCAAATCGTTTTGAATCATACCGATTTGTATCGGTATCGGTTGGGGTTTGCTTTGAGGGGCCCTTTGGGGCCAGAAGGGCGGCAGCCAGCTGCTGCTGTGCTGGTGGCTGCCTGGCACGGGAGGCGCTGGCAAAGTCTTTGAGAGGCTGCTTAGAAGAGACCCTCTTTGGAGAAATGGAAAGCCAAGAAAACAGACTGAGACTGCTTCAAGCCGATTCCATGTTGAACACTTCCCAGGGCTCATCCGGACAGCTGCAACCAGCCGAGGCCAAAAATCAACCTAACTCGGCGAGTTAGATCGTTTTTGAGGGTTCCCACTTCTCAGGGCTCATCCGGGACAGCTGCAACCAGCCAAGGCCAGAAATCAACCTAACTCGGCGAGTTAGATCGTTTTTGAGGGTTCCCACTTCTCAGGGCTCATCCGGGACAGCTGCAACCAGCCAAGGCCAGAAATCAACCTAACTCGGCGAGTTAGATCGTTTTTGAGGGTTCCCACTTCCCAGGGCTCATCCGGGACAGCTGCAACCAGCCGAGGCCAGAAATCAACCTAACTCGGCGAGTTAGACCGTTTTTGAGGGTTCCCACTTCTCAGGGCTCATCCGGGACAGCTGCAACCAGCCAAGGCCAGAAATCAACCTAACTCGGCGAGTTAGATCGTTTTTGAGGGTTCCCACTTCTCAGGGCTCATCCGGGACAGCTGCAACCAGCCAAGGCCAGAAATCAACCTAACTCGGCGAGTTAGATCGTTTTTGAGGGTTCCCACTTCTCAGGGCTCATCCGGGACAGCTGCAACCAGCCAAGGCCAGAAATCAACCTAACTCGGCGAGTTAGATCGTTTTTGAGGGTTCGGCAAGTGCTCCAACCAAACCAAAATCAATGTCGATTCCAGACCTTTTTTTGAGGAGGCTTGTAAGAGCACTTTGGTTTAGTGGACTCTCTCTGGCTCTGGCACCTGCAGATGTGCAGGCTCGATTCTTGCTTCTTTCGGGCTTTTGGCGACACAACACGCCGAATTCGAGGTTCCCGGCCTGTTGGCAGCACAGCTTGCACACCAGCGCGCAGCCGCAGCGCCGGGTGAGTATATTCCTTTATCGAGATATTGTTCAATACTCCCCTGCTGTATCGCAAGTTTATCGGATATTCAAAGCAATACATATCAATAAAATCGAGTGGTATCGCGGAGCTTGCGGTACCGAACCGTATCGTCATCGAAACAGCCCTGATTAGAATACTGAAACAACTCAGGACCCACTTGAAAATCTAATTTGAAATTGGAGCTCTAACTACAAATAGTAGGGTCTGGCCCCCCAACCGTTTCAACCCTTTTCTCATAGGAAAGGTTCCCCACAAGGATCAGGGCCCCAAACCGATTGAACCGTTCAAATCGTTTAAACCCTTTCTCAAATGAAAGTCCTCCCGCCCCGAAAAGCCCGAAAACCGTTTGTACCGTTTAAACACTTTCTCACAATAAAGCTGCCCCCCACCCCAAAGGGTCAGGCGCCCAGCACCGTTTAAATTGTTTAAACCGTTTAACACTGGAAACGCCCCCCCCCCACCCCCCCCCCCCCCGTTTTACCTAGAGAGGGTTCAAACGGCTTGAACAAGGTTTTGGGGCCAAACCTTTCCTCTGAGAGAGGGGTTGAACGGTTTAAACGGTGTAAACGGTTTCAACGGTTTGGGCCCAGACCTTTCCGCTGAGAGGAGTTAAACGGTTTAAACGGTTTTGGGCACAGACCTTTCCTCTGCGAGAAGGTTTAAACGGCTTAAACAGTGTAAACGGTTTTGGGGCCAGACCTTTCCTCTGAGATAAGGCTTAAACAGTTTGAACGGTTTTGAGGGTTCAACCGGTTTAAATGGTTGGAGAGTGATTTTCCTTTTGCAGAGTCACATATATAGTGGGCAGAACACATGAAGACAGAAAAGATCGACATTTGGGGGGGGGATTGCATATATATATATATAGTTTATTTATAGATGTGGCTCAAAACTAAACAGGAGGGGTTACGCAGGTTTTGGTTCATGTTTCCACTTACCCGGGTTTTATTGTGGTACCGTTTTTTGGAGCCACAGCCATACTTCCATTTGGTTAAGAC